TAGCCCCAAGGTAATGTCATATAATGTAAATGTGCCTAGCTCCAGGATGGCAAAAATGGGCCTGAATATACACAGAGATTTCATATGCGCTGTCCCAGTTTGCTCTCCTGGGTTTGGCAGAATGCAATAATATTTTACCATGGAAGGAATAAAATAAAGGAACAAAACAGGGACTGTGTTTAGCAATAACAGTGTAGCCGCTGGTAGCCCCAGTTCCTGGAAGAACTCATCTGCGTGAACATTACACAAAGCTGTGTTCCTGCTCAGTTCCTGCTCGATGTTTTGGGTCACTGCAGTGTGGGCACCAGCTGCCAGCCTGACCCTGCTCTGTTCAGCTCTTCGGCAGGAATAACTGCAGCCTGCCCTTCCTGTTTTCTGTTTAAATTGTGGGCAAATACACCCCACCGGGCACTTTTTGAGCTGTAGGCTTGTTTTCTGTTAGAATTACCTAAGGCTAAAGTGAAAGTAGTGCCAGCATAGAGTAGCCCTATTGACACCAGAATTGATTCCAGCACAGCAGTTCTTAAGACTGCAATTTGGGAAAAGGAAAGCCTGTGTGTGCAAAGTCTACCTCTGCTTTTAACAGGAGCAAGGTTTCCAGCTCTCTATCAGAGAACAAGGTAAAACCAAAGAGTGCCAAGCTTCATCTGGTGGTTTCTGTAAAGATAAAGGGAAACATTCTACTCATATAAAATAGTACTTCTATTATTCTTCTGCATATAAAATGGTATTTATACATCAATATGTGGAATCTTTCCTATTTTGCAGATGTTCTCCTATGCTTTGTGGAAGAGCTGGTTCAGCCTTTTGGTTCAGCCTGCAGCAAAAAGGCCTGTGAGTGCCACGAGATGTAGTTTTTTGATTTTCCTCCTCCAAGTATCCAAAATAGAGGGTTGTACTGAAAGCCACTGTCAGTCATGCTTTACAGCATGAGACCAAACTGTTTTGCACATGTTGGTGTCCAAATCATGGTGACACAGTGTTGGAGGGCTGTGTAAGGCAGGAAGAGGTGAATCGGGTGCAGTTACATCCTACTGCCATTTGGGAGTGACCTGTTCCTCAGGCCATCCCCTGCCCTTGCGAAAAGCAGGATTGTTCTGCATTCAATCCCTTGTAACAATTGCTGAATTTCACTATTACCTCCACTGTGCCCTGTCCAGTGAGCACAGAACAGCATTCACGTAATTGCATTCTTTTTCTGTTCCCCCTCCGCTTTGACCAGAGCCTGATGCACTTGAAATGAGCAGCATGCCCACACCAGCAGATTGTATTTTCCTTTCTCTTGATTTATTAGCTGCTCCTGAAGCAGGGCTCAGTCAAATCAAGCCAAAGTCACTCTGCATGCAAATACACAGTAATTCCTGCAAACACACAGTGTTACTGATGGTGCAACCATCTACAAGGCATCTTTGATCACAAACACCCTTTTCTGGCTAGCATTGTTCACAGTAACATATTCAGATTTAAATATCTCTGGGTCACAAAGATTATTTTAAATAATAATAAAAAAAAGCATACTTCCACAGCTGCCCTTTGATGATCTCATAACCATGCATTCATCATGCTTCTCTCTTCTTATCAGTTACAAAGTCTAGGTCAAACTCCTTTGAGGCTACGCCTGTAGTTTTAGTGCCCACCGACTCTGACTAAACAGCTTTACTCTTAGTTACTGTGTCTTTTATCACTAGTCTATCCTGCATTTGTTTATCAGTTCGCCTGTTTCTTATTATTCCCTTTGATCTTACGAGGACTGCCATCAGCTAGCAGGTGTGCTTGCATCTTTCCACATACCTTACAAAAGGGAGAGAAGTGTCTCAGTGGCAAGGAGAAAAAGCAGCTTTTCAATACGTGGAGGGATTTGCAATGCTGAAGATGAATCCCAGATGACTTCTGCTTTTTAGTCCTCATCAACTCCAGGACAATAAGCACACGAGCCTGCCTGGCCCTAGTTGGTAAATAGCCCCGGCAGGTATTGGATTTTGTTCACCTTTGATCAGCTTTTTGGCTGCCGTTGAGTTCCCCTCAAGGATTTAGGCACAAGTTACTTGAGCTTTTTTTTTTTTCCTCCCTTCGAGAAAATGCTTCTTGTGGCTTTCTGTTAAAATAAAACTATACTTACATTTAAGTCTTCCCTTTTTGGCAGAGTCTGTTTGGTATCACAAACATCTCCCCATTAATATCACTATTTTCTAGGTAGTAACCTTTTGGTGCTTTGCTGCCTCAGGTAGAATGAAAGTGAGGTTTTGTTATTTGATTTTTTTCCTGGAACTGTGTTTTCCAAGGCTGCTCACACCCTCACAAATCAGGAAAGGACAGAAAAACAAAAGGTGCTACAGAGAATAGATCCGGAGCTTGCCTTTGAGGGCATACCATGAGGGCAGCCTCAGGCAGCTCTCCTACCAATTACTATACTAATACAATGATTCCTTTCTGAGAACAAATAAACCCCAAATCACAACAAATTAAACTTTCTGAAAACAAATAAGACTGTCAACAATAGCCTTTGGTACCAAAAATTAGGAATTGCAAGCCAGTAAACACCTCATTTAGTTTTTCCTTTTCTCCTGCAGCTGTCAGTGGGGACCTTGCATGATGATCTCAGAAGTCAAAATTTTTTCCCCATCCTTTTTCAAGTTAAAGAAAAAGGACATTGATTGGACCGTGGATTTTGAAGAATATAGATAAATAGATATATTCTATGACATACTAACTTTGTGCAGTGAAATTGCACCAATAGCACTGGTCCAATAGACATGATAACTTATGTCATCTACATTTATTTTTGTTGTAAAAAAAAAAAAAATCAGTATTTTTGCCTATATATTCTTTTCTTTTAGAAGCAAATTCTTTGCTACAACGTCCAAATGTTGCCCCTTTTACAATAGCATAATTCAGATTTCCACTGCTTTTAATTAACACACATCAGAGTTGCATTTCTACTCCAATGTCTGCTTGCTGAAATGGTTGAACACGTTGTAATTAGAAAAGCCACCACAATCACTCTCATGAAGCACAAAGGTGTTACCATGACTCCAAACTTTGTTAACAAAGCCAATACACGTAGGCTTCTCAGAAATATCATTCCTCTCCATTCTTTTCACACATAACTTGATTTGTTCCAAGTACACATTCCTTTATCAACTGGTCATTTATTTCCGTTTCCTTAACTTCAGACAGGTATCTAAAATGCAAATGACAGAAGAATGGTTGTTGTTTTTTTTTTTCATCCCCTAGAATGATAAATTTTGTTATTAGCAGTAAATTCTGCTTCTTGTTTTTTATTTTTATTTAAATAACTAGTTACAAATGTCAGTTCTTCAAGCACACTCCCTGGTTATTTAGGTTTTTCTGTGTGTTTCTTAGCTCCTTTTTTTTGGCCTTCTATTTCCCCTTAACAATGACTACTGCATTTTCCTGTGGTGGTGAATCTCCTCAAAGTTCTCATTTGGAATGTAAATCTGAACATATTTTTCCAGGCCTATTAAGGACAAAATTCAGAACAAAGTTGCAGGGATGGACTGATAAAAAAAAGTGTAAAAAGAAAGACAAACAGAGATCCTACATTTAGTTTGTAATAATCATCTACCCAAACGTGAGATGAGGAGCAATTAGGTAGCTGACAGTTTTGCAGAAAAAGATTGATAGTAATAACAGGGCTGATAAGTTCAATGGGAGCCAGCAGTAGCCTCCCATTTGTAACTGAGATAAGCATCAGACTGGGACATGATACATGAGTGCTGGATGCTCAGAGCAGTAAGGGGCAACCAATAACAATTTGCACATATGAAATGGATGTCTGTAGAGAAGACGAATAATGTGATCTGTGTCCTCTCTAGGAAAAATATGCAGTGACCCCATAACATGGGTGGGAAATTCACACATTCACTTGAAATGCAAGAAGCTTATTGCCTGACTTGACATGCATCTCATGTGACGGATGTCTCCATTTTGATGAACTGCATCTGGACGGATGTGTCATTACAAGAAGACATATTTCAAACAAACTCATGTCCGGGCTTTGCTTCCTTTATTACCTAACAGTGGAGAGAGAGAGATTAGAATATTCTTCTTTCATTCAATAAAGAAGAGGGGACTTAAAATGGAGTAGTAAGTGCTATTGCATCCTTTTGGTCAAGTGGAGATTGAGAGAAATTCAGAAATAAATTCAGTGGGAAAACAAAACAAAACAAACAAACAACAACAACAAAAAAAAAAACACAAGTAACTGGATGATAATAAGAGGAGAAACAAAGACAAGATTCTAGAAAAGTAAAATGTCACAACTTGGCAGGAGCTAGTTAATAAAACCTGCAGAAAAAAAACGAAAACCAAAACAAATCAACAATAAAAAAAAAAGCTGCCTCCTGACAATACAGCAGATAAGAATGATGAACTGCTGGGGGAAAAACATACAAGAAATCCTCCAGGAAATTACTTCATCTTCAAGACACTTTCAAACAGATGCAGTGATGACAGAAAAGCAAGTAGGAAGATACTGAAAAGCTGCGAGTAATTTGACACGATCATACAGTGAAGAAAATACTGACTGTATTTAAGGAGAATGTTCCTATCCAGAACAGAGCCAGATCTGGTGGCTGATCTGGGATTTGGCATCTGTCTCCCTCCCTTCTCCTCCAGGCCTTCAACTTCAATCAGTTGAAGCCCTCTCAAAAGTAATTATTCCTCTTCCCAGAATACCCTCCAGCCTGTCAGTATTTCCCTGGTAATTAAATAGTCAGAAATTGTTGTGTTGTTTGCAGGGAGACTGCTGCACATAGAGGGAATTGGGACAATTTGTGATCTGTGCAGGAAGCCACCATTGAAACAGTCCTCTGTTCCCTCCCACTTATTTTTGTCTGCTGCAAGACATTTTTATTTGATTTACATGGGTTTTATGTTTACGAAAGAGAATCAGATTTGCTTCTCAGCAGCTCCAGCTCCCCTGTCAGCATCTCCCACTCCCTTCTGCCCAGTAAGAAGATCTGTAAATCTGCACCTACTGTTTTCTGCAACTTCCCAGGTCTTACTCCTTTCCTTTCTTTCCGCCCACCTCCTCCACAGGGTGTGTAAAGCTGATCTGTCTTCTGCCACTCCTTCCCTCCTTTAGGATGAGCTTTTCCATTTGTAGTGCTAGGTGCACTGAAGATCTCCAGGCAGTTTCACCCCACTTTTTCTCATCTCGTTTTCTAGGAAAGGTGTTAAAAAGAACAAGAGATATTACCCTTTTCCACAGCACCTCTCTAGAGATGTTTTAGCTTGGCTCAGATCTGACATTTGTCATCCTTCGCTGAGTCTTTCAGCCATTAACCAATACATCAGAACAAGCTCCTGTGTCAGTCAATGTGAATATTTCATGAACTACCGCATAAAATAATTCACTGAAATTCAGTTATAAGTAGCTCAGGTACAAATACTTCCTATCAACGGTGTCCGATAATTCATACAAATGGACCTTGCTTTTACCTATTTATAACTTTACCAAAACTTTAAACTCTGAGGTTATATTTGTTACTTTGTCTTTCCTTCTAATCAAGTTTCATTACATTTCTTATCTTCCATTCCCACCCATTTCAGATTGAGGTTGACATTACCTAGCCTTTCATGTTTGATTTTACAATGCCATACTTTTGCTAATGCTCCACTGCACTGGTCTCCATCTGAACAACACCCTGGGTGTTCTGTGATGGTTTATTTCAATGTAAGAATTTACTACAGCTGTGAAGGATGCTGGAGGGACCATGAGGATTTGAGAGCAACGAACTGGTGCCAAGCAACAGGGGCAGCTCCAAGTTCAGGGTTGTCTGAGATACTATGTGCAATACATGTGAAAACACTGATGCGTAACTATTAAGATTTCTGCTTGAGATCATTTTCAGTGAAAAAAAAAAATGTTGTTGTAGTTCCTTTACTCACCTTTTTCTCACCTTTTTTAACCTTTTTTTTTTTTTTTTTTGGGGGGGGGGGGGAGGGGAGGGAGGGGAAGGAGATGGACATGCAGTAGTTTTGGTACTACAGCGTAAAAGAAAATCACCAGCAGAACAAAAGGTGCCGTTCATTGCATATGTAGCTAACAAATAAAAGCATTTACGTTCAATACGAGTCTGAGACGAGGTAAAGTTAAAAGTTTGCTTCTTTCATGTGCAAGATCTATTAACACTATTCGTTAAGACTGTGGTTCATTAAGAAGCCCAAGGAACTGAGATCCAGTTCACTTGGAATTTTATGTATTTCATAATTGCTTTCCCTACCTTTAGTCATCTCTCCACAAAACCAATGAGATCCTGCAGTGCCTGGGCTAGAAGAACAGAATTTTTAACTGAATTCCAGTTTTAAGATCTGAAACACTGATAATTCTGCATTATGCTGAAATATGTAACTGCCTCCATTATCTTAATACAAGCCTTGGACACAATTGCAAGCAACACATTTACTTCACTGTCCAAATTATTGGGAGAACAGTGACAAGATATTAGGGAATATTAAATATCAGTAAGAATTTAGAAATAAATCTGCAGTTTCACAACTTTCCACTGAGGTGCAAGAAAATCCACGACTTCTGTTTCAAAAATCTTTGACTTTATATTAACAATTCCATTCTTCATCGTTCACTAGAGGAGATATAACCACCAGAAACACCAGAAGAATAGCTAATTCCATCTCTGCCTTGTGTAATAAATTGCCCTGGCTCACACCTCCAGCTTGATTAACAGTGTCACATCCAGGTATCCAGGAGCCATAGCTCTCATAATTGCATTACAATTCATTATAGCTTTAATTCTATACACAGAGGAAAAGCTAAGGTGGACACCTTCTCAGTCATAACTTTTGCCATCAACATTTTTTTGACGTGTTCAAGGACACCATGAGCTTTCAACTTAGATATCTCAAAACAAAACAAAACAAAACAACAACAACAAAAAAAACAACAGCAAGTTTCACCCCAAATACTTGAAACTTGGCTTATAAGCATGCCCAATTAGAGAATTCTAACAAGAAATATTCAGCAACTTTAACAACACAGATCTAACTGGTAAAACTGTAGGAAAAATATTCTGTATTGAGTTACCAGCCTCTACTTTCCCTTTTATTGGCTTCTGTTAATAAGTTCACTGTATTTGAGTTTTCTGTCTGAAACATAAACACCAACAAATGCCTCCAAACTGTCAAATCAGCTACTGGTTCCTTGTTCTTTTCTGCTAAAGAGTTGCTGTTACCTTTGAAACCAGACTTTCTCAAAAAGCATCTGTCAAAGAATGAATGGTGCTGAGTTTTTATCAGTACATTCCCTGGACGTTCATGCTCTAGCATCTGTGCCTGCCAACCTCATGGTTTATCCAGCTCTCTCCACTACAGGAGCCAGAGCATCACAGCTGAAAGCTTCTTGTGAGGAACAGGACAAGACATGAAGAAAAGCAGCTGAAGCCTTTTGAAGCAGTCTTCTTAAATGATGACAGCCACATGGCACAGCACTCTCTCCCATCAAAGAGTGCTCCCAACGAAAGCATTTGGGTACACCTCAACTCCCCAGGGGAGCCTTTACACAATCCCACATGCAACTGGACTCTGTCTTTGCTCTTTCTGAACAACTCTAAACGTAACCGGAACCGGAACACTGAGCCGAACTGATATTGTATAAACTCACTTTAGGATAGAATAAATTTTGTGGTTAAAAATTAATGAGAACAAAATAGATGACATCTTGTTATCTGTCGATCTTCTGTTATGTTGAAGCATCTTGTTAATTGAAACATCCCGTTATCTGTCGACCATCAGTCAGGCTGAGACTTGAGATAACTTGAGTCAACCTTCTGTTACGTCTTGTTAACTGAAACATCCCGTTATCTGCCAACCCTCAGTTAGGTTTGAGCCAACTTGGCATTTCTGAAGCTTGGAAAACAACTGATTCATCCAACCTGGCATTTTTTTAAGCAAAAGGTGAAAAGTGCATCACGAGGAAGACCTACAGTCTTCCTCCCAAAGACCACTGCCCACATCCCAAAGACCCCAGCCCACAATTCTTGGAAGGCTTTGCGCAAGCGCAAGGACTGATAAACTAATTAGCATACGAAGCAAGAGTAGGAGGGGTTAGGTAATGAATATGTATAGACATTAATAGAATATTCATCGTTTTGCTGTATAAATATGAGATAGTTTGTTACTTCGAACATGCACAATAGGTGCATCCCCTGTGCATCCAGCGCTGCAATAAAGAATATACCACTTAAGGAAATTTCGGCTTTGATCTTTGAATCAGAACCCCAGGTGGGACCCTAGAAAACCAGTACGGAGCCCCTTTCTCCCATTAAAAAGTGCCCCCAACAGAAAGCTTTGGGTACACTTGAACTCCTCTGGGGAGCCTTTATGCAACCCCACATGCAACCGGACTCTGTGTCTTCACTCTTTACAAACAACCCTAAACATAACTGTAACCTGCCGAGGTCAGCAGGAATTTCACAGCTGCAGTAGAGGCAGAATGGATTGCACTTCTGCACTGTTTTCATCTGGTAGCAAATGTCTATAAAACAGTCTGTGGCCCATGATATGCTTTCACACAGACCTGGTGTTCCCCAGCAGGGCTGTTAATATGAACAGAATTTGGCACTTGCTGTCTTGGGCAAAAGGGTGAAAATTTACTTCTCGTAAGCCCATATTATTCTCCAACACCTATTTGCTCCTGGCTTCCAAAAGTTGCCATAAAACAGGAACTACTTTTTTTTGTGTGTGTGAAATGACAGAAAAGTAGCAGTCCTCCCAGTTGCAGAGCTGTGAAAAAATGATGGTTGTTAGGTATATTCTTTCTGTGACAGGACTTTTACAGTAGGAAATTAGTGTTAGCATGCACAATCCAAGGGCACTTCCTCAAAGATAGCAGCTGAAAGCAGCTTCTGTTGGGAAACAGAACAGAGTTTCTCCTCTAGTAGAAACCCTCCCTGTCTCACAACAAATCCCCTAAATCACTGCTACAGACCCAGTCCTTACTGGGGTAGCTGTGAGCAACCATCTGGAAACACTGTGCCCCTCTTCTGGCAGACAGCCCTCTCTCGTGCTGTTCCATGGCTGAGGGGACACAACCAAAACTCAGAGGTCTGTTCCTAGGAAGCCGTTCACCCAGCTCGGCTGCGGACTCTGATCTGCTAATACTTTGTTTCTCAAAGATGACAGGAATCTCCCAGCTCTGACTTCTGCCCGACATGCTCTCTGCTGCTTGTACTTGAAGAGCTTGTGTGTGCCAGAAGCAGCTGTCTGAGCTTAAAAAAAAAACACAGAGCACTTAGACATATCTGAAGGCACTAGTGGCCCAGTGTTCCTTGGCTCTCCCTTGGGCTGATACAGCATCAATGACATTTTTTATCTAGGGCTGCAATGAGTTGAAACTAAAGATTTTTCTAAATTGGTGTAATATTTTAGCGAGAGAACTAATGCAATGAGAAGTAAAATTCAGGCATGCACATGAGATAAATAAATAAGTAAATAAATTGCTAAGAGCCATAAAAATAGTAACATAGAGAGTTTCAGCCCTTCTCGGCTTGTTAATACCCCCTCACCCCCCAAAAAGCTATGATTTCAAGTACTTCCTAGAATCAGGGTCCCAAATGCAGTAGGATACATGAGCAGTTTGTCTTTCAAGCCGATCAAGGATGTCAGTGAAGGCAGAAATTGCCTATCCACTTTCTGAAATAATTTTATGAGCTAACGTGGTCTGACCAATCATCTCAATTTGAAAAACAGAGCACATCCATCTGCAGAGATGGAGCAGATGCAAAGTGGGCAGGTAAATCATTTTTACCTCGAGTCACACTGTGTTCCCACTGCCAAGTGATCTTTCGATCTTATCATTTACTTACTTGCTTTTCTCCTCTGACACTTTTGAGTGCAGAGCAGGCTTATAAAATCATTATGCACACTAATGTTAATCAGCAACAAAAGCATCCATGGGTGACGAGTAGGATGCTGACCAGCAGCGTTCAAGATTTAGGGTTCTGAAATAACGACTAAATTTACCAACGATTTTGGCTCCAAGATCCACCCCAAGTGCTATGTTATACTTAAATGAGCAACTAACACCGAGAGCTTTCAGAAACATTTCTCTGAAGAGGTCTGAGGGATAAATAAGAAGGCTGACCCAGGTTGTTAACCCTACCAATAAGGCACTGTTTATGAGAATGGTTAACAACATAATGAATGGCAGAAAAGAAAGCACAAAGCATTGGGCAAGGGGAAAAAGGTGAACAATTTAGGTAGCCTTTAATGTCTGATGCCATAAAACTTGAGTCCTTGCACACAGCAGGAGGTATTTGACATTTTCCTCTTCAGAGATTAGCACTTGCAGGTATTGATTTAAACTAGGATTTATACCATGCCTGTCATTTTTACGAAGGGCACAATAAGAGAGAGTAGCAAGAAATTGCCAGGCACACCATCCTTAATCAGCTGCAAACTGTTTTCACCCTAAATCTGCAGGTTTGTCAGGAAAAGCAAAATGCACACAACTAAGTGAGGCAGCAGGAATGGGCATTCAGCAGGACAGAATAAAAATAGCGACCAGAAAAGGGTGCCATTAGAGAGCTTTATCTTTTATTTTTAATCTGCAACGGATTCACAGCTCATGACACCTCTTTTTAAATCTTATTATATGGTTTGCATTAGAATTCAAGCTCCTTCTCAAACACCAAACTCCCTGTGCCCTCTTCAGGGCACCTGAGCAAATCAGAAGGCTGACGGGCTAACTTTTAATCACCTGAGTTGCTCGCTGGAGGCAGGCTCAAGTAATATATGTGTGCTTCCCCTCTCTCAACCCAGCAGTCTTCCATTTGCAGAAGTAAGTTTAAAAACACTCTGCATAAAAAAAAACCCACCCAGCTCTGCGTGAATGAGACTTCAAGGTTGAATATATCATTAAGAATTTCTTTGGCATGAACAGAGGTAAATGCCTCAGTTCTTTTGATTCTCTGTAAGAGCTGGGCACCTACCTTGCTCTCGGTGCAATCCCAAGTGACTTCCAACAGGCCTTGTTCCTCTAAACCATTCTGAAAACTCCAGTCTTGCCTCTTTGGCAGTTATGGAAACAAATGCTACAGCCAGGTGTATTTCAATTACGATGGAAAAAAATTGCAGGGAGAAAATATATTCTGCTTCTCTTACAGTGCCCAAACCTCTAAATTAAAAGCAGTAAAATGGGTGCCTCTTTCACCTCTGAAGTCTGCTTGAAAATTGCTTTCCCATTCAGCCCGCACTCAGGAATTCAAATTATTTTATTCTAAAAGTTAGAAACCACCAGAGGTTCCTGCCTCTGTGTGAAATAGATTCATATTTGCAAGAATTATATCTTTCTTGATAGGATTTAGGTCTGCATGGCCCTTTATTGGCTATGCTACCCTGCTAAGACAGAGCTGTTTCTGTTAGGGTTAAGTTCAGGCAACAAGTGCCACGCACCTTTTTTTCATTCTCTGCCTGGATGAACTTAAGTAAAGCACAATGCTGGTCCCTATGAGGTGCAAGTAATCTCTGGAACGGTAAAGAAAAATTGGACGTCTTCTCTACTGTGTCTACAACTGATCAACATTTTACAATTGCTTTTTAATGCATTGAAGCATCTCTCTATCATTTGTACTGCCTTTTGAGTTTGTGTTATTGATTCAAAGATGACCAGAAGTGTATCTGCTGTAAAAAGAAAACCATGAAGCTGGAAAAGCAAGAGAGCTGTCCATGCTGCTTGGTGATCACCAGGGTTTTACAGACACACTGTCTCAACTGCTGTTGTATCTCCGTAGAGTGTACTAACAGGCCCCCAAAGCTGCACCTGTGCTTATGTCAGCAGCCAGCTCTGGTTCAAGATCTCTTCTCATCACCAGCTAAAAATGTCTAAGGCTTCTTCTGTCACAGGAATTGAGGAGCAAGAGAAAAGGAGGGCAGAGACAGAGACCCAGAGCTGCACTGGGATGCCTGGCTGGCAGCTGGAGGAGGGGGCTGCAGCCACAGCTACCTGCCGCCCCAACCTGCAGCTTCACACCTGCCAGCAGCAGCAGCAGCCAGCCTCACTTACAAGGGCTCTTTCCTGATAATTAGTAGGGAGACCTCCCTGCATTTTTTTTTCTCTGCAGCCTACATTTTGAGAAAACTGCTCTCCTCATCTACACCTGTTTGAAGGAAGCTCTCAGAGGAATGCTGTCAAAATGCAGGACACCTCTATGGCCCAATGGGGCTAATTTATGATGGCTGAGGGTCCCACCAGCCCATGTTTCTCATTTCTCTGCTACTCAATCTGTATTCAAAATGTTTTGCTATCAGAGATTTATCTTACGAAATAGTAATACCATTCTGGTTTAGTGCCAAGGCTGGGCTAAGGGATGGCAATACATTAATGCTCCAGGTAATCAGCACAGCAACTTCCAACTGGCAGTCACAGCTCTCTGAA